GCACTTTAAATTGCTGGGACAAAAACCACACACACACAAAAACCAAACAGAAAAACAGAAACACAAAAAGCAGGAGTATCTGGGCTCAGGGTTTTACAGGAAGCTCTTCATTTCTCTCAAGATAAAACCTATAGACCCAAATCTTTACATAAAAATCATCTTTCTGACTTGGTTGGTTTGGCTCAGTAGTTAGAGCATTGGGCTGTGGACCAAAGGGTCACGGGTTCGATCCCTAGCCCAAATCGGGGCCATGCAGGAGGCAACCAATCGATGTGTCTCTCTCACGTCGATGTCACTCCCCACTTCCCCTCCATCTAAAAGTCAATGGAAAAATATCCTCAGGGGAGGATTAACAAAAAAAATAACAACAAAAGCCACCCTCCGTGAACCCTTAACTGTGAGGGCCTGCAGCTCTTCCCTCAGTGATGCGAGCAGATGCTACCACTCAGGTAGAGGCCAGGGAGCTGCATCTTAGCAAAGGAGAGATGGAACCTGTCCTGATTCAGGACAGCCGGTCTGCATATCTCTCCCTCTTCGGTGAGAGCTTAGGAAGCCTCCTGGAAGGTCTTACTTGCTCCCTGATGGGGTCTGTGGCACCTCGGAGTTTCCCCAGTGGATGAGATCTGTGCCAAAGATGTCTGTCCTCCACATACCTTGATTTTCACCTACTTCTGCGCTTTTCAAGTTCCAATCCTACAAATGCAAATGCCTCTACCCTTCGTCCTGCCAGAATCTCAAATATGTGTACAAAATCTTCAGCAGTTTCCTTCCCTGGTCAAACCCTTTCCCTAGGTTTTCTTATTTGATGGCTGACATGCCCTCTTCCCAGTCACCCGGGTTTGATGACCTATCCACCTTCTTTCCATTCTTCACACCTTCTCGTCCAATCACGCACCAAGACAACAGATTCTGTCCCAGGGATCTTCAGCCTCTGTAAGTCAATAATCACTGGAGAGCCATTATTTCCCCTTCTCTGGGCTGCTGTCGTGGCCTCCACTGTCCTCGCCTGTGCTCCCTGGAACTTAATTATTTCCTGCTGAGCACAGGCAGAGAAATGAGACATAGTCTCTGCCTCAAGACACTCACAGGCTCTCCTCTCACATTATATTCTCCCTATAGCAAAACATGGAAGGGCTATGGTATAAAAGAAAAAGGACTTCGGACAGAGCACTAAGACCAATCTTTGAATCACATTGTTCCTTGCATTGAACATTTCATTGCCCAGGATAAAATGTTAAATACTGCAGGCATGTTCTGTGGGTCACCACAATGGAATGCTAAAATCTCCACCACACAGCATGAACCCGGGCAGCTGTTCATCCCTCAGGAAAGGAAGCTCTTATCCTGACCTCTCACTGAGACCAAGCTTCTGCCCCTTCCCGAGCTGTGCTCCGCTCTCCTCACTATTCCCTGTGCCCATCGCACCTCCTGCAGCCACTCAGAAGGGAGGCGACTAGACTGCTGTGTTCCAGTGACCTGGAGACAAGGTGCTCGCACACCCATGTCCTAGTCACGTCCTCTTATTTCCTGTGGCTTCTCCACTTGAAACGTTTATCGGTAGCCATGAGGCGATACCAAGAGCCCTTGGAAGAACGTCTGGAAACTTGTGTGGGGCTGCTGGACGCAGGCGCATCGCCCCGCTCGCTGCTGCTGGCGCCGCCTTCTTCTGTGACAGGGAGGGTCGGCCTCAGGTGACTTGCACGTATGTCTTTCCACGTCCGAGACAGCTGCTGACACGTATGACAGGCAGTCACACGCTCCTCCACCCCTCCCTGCAGCCTCCGCAGCCGGGCTTCTCTCCCACCCCAGGACTGTCCACAGGAAACGCTTAGACCCGCACAGGTCTCTGAGAGGCTACGATCCTCAACGGACCAAGAGAGCTTCCAGAGGGCGGTTACATGTGCCAAGTGTGCAGGGGGGGTGAAGGCCCGGGCTCAGATCCCTGTCTCCAGTCTTCCCAAAGGCTCAGCCAGATAAGAAAAAATGCGCCTAAATTGAACTGGGGGAATTCTTTTACCATAACATGTTTTGATTCCAAAAATCACCACCTAACAAACTAGATTTTGCCAAAAAAAGAGCCCATTGTATCTCCCCATTCCCATCAACATCTTGCTTAATATGTTGGGTTCTTGCTAAAAACAGAACATGTAGAATCAAGTGTAACTTAAAAAAAAAATTTTTTTTATCCTCACTCGAAGACATTTTTCCATTTTTTATTCAGATAGAGCGAGAGGGAGAGAGAGGAAGAGAGAGACAGAAACATCGACACGAAAGGGACACATCGAGTGGCTGCCACCTGCACGACCCAACCAGGGCCGGGGACAAACTGCAACCGAGGTACGTGCCCTTAGCAGACACTGAACCCGGGCCTCGCCAGACTGCAGGCCAACACTCTAACCACTGAGCAAAACCAGCCAGGGCTCAAGTGTAACTTTTTAAAAGAGAAAATAAAAAATTCTTGTTATTATAGTAAATGGTTTCCAAAATAATGTATTTTAAATGAATCCATCAAAGTCCAAAGAACATAAAAATCAGAAAATAAACTCAATATTTAATATTAATATTAAATAAGTACTATTTAATTAACTAAACATATATGTAACTATTTCTTTAAATAAATACCACAACTTTCCCAGTAATTTCTAGATAAAAATTTTAATTCTACCTTTAAATGAACTTGAACACCAACTTCAACTATTTCTCTAAACATACATCTGTGTTCCTGCCCAAATCAGGACTTACTGCTGCCCAACCCCATCCTCCCGCCTCTTGGCCCTCACTTGCTCCTTTGGCCAGGGACACAGCTCCCCTCTCCAGCGCGGAGCCTCTGTCCGCCCCTCCTCCCGCCCCGCGGGGTCCTGGGAGGACCCTGGACTGGAGGCCACTGTCGGAGACGCCAGCACCGTTTCAGCCCCTGGCTGATCTCGAAAACACCGCCATGCCCTGTAGTCTCCCTACCTGCGAAACAAGGGTGTTCAGCCAGGTGACCCCTATAAGAAGAAAGAACCAGGAAGCCGAAAGTCCGAGTCTGCTGGTGCGTGAGGCTGAACATTCGCACCCACGTCCCAGAGCAGAGACCAGCTCGGGAACACGCTCGGGAATGTCCTGGGTGTCGGCGCCACTCACATCTGTCTGGCGAGCAGGCTCCCGGGCAACAGCAGTTTCCAGGGCAGGGAATTGAGGAGCCAGGAGTGTCAGAGCCCCTGGAGGGTGGCAGAATGGAACTCCTCAGGATGAAGCTGTCAGTCTACTGCAGCGAGTGAGAGACTCAAAGGCCCCTGTGAAGGTGCTGGAGGAGCCTGGGGAACCCAAAGCTCCATCTAGAAGCAAGAGGCATGGTCTCTGACTTTACAGTTGTCTCAAGAGATGAGCTTGCACATCCTCTGACTCTAAAGAAGTCTTGCGGTCGCCCGGCCCCTTGGCGCGGCGGCGTTCGTGGCTTCCAATCCTGGGCTCTATTTGAGAAACCGTGATTGAGGGAAGCCGCCAACGTCGAAGCGCCAAGCGGCAGGGCGACTGCATAAAGAAGCCTGCTTCGTGGAAATCCATTCACCGTGGCAGAGTCTGGACCTGACGAGCCGCGGTAAGCGAGGGCCGACTGTGCATCGCCTCTGTCCACTGGCTCCTTTCTATGATTCAGCCGCTGCCCCTCACCTCTTCCACCACGCTGGGTGAGTCTTCCAACCGACTTTCCTCATCCTTTGAAGCTGACAGACTTGCTACAATTTTTTTTTCTATCCTCACCCGAGGACATTTTTTGCCATTTTTTGTTCAGATAGAGTGGGAGGGAAAGAGAGGAAGAGAGAAAGACAGAGAAACATCAACGTGAAAGGGACACATCGAGTGGCTGCCACCTGCACGACCAACCAGGGCCGGGGACAAACTGCAACCGAGGTACATGCCCTGAGCAGGAACTGAACCCGGGTCTCTCTGGACTGCAGGCTGACGCTGAGCCAAACCGACCAGGGCTACATTTTAACTATATCACATCACAGTTCCTTCAATAAGCTCTTGTTAATGGAGGAATTCCCTTACTTTTCTGTGTATTTCCTTCCCAAACCTCCGTTTCTAATTCAAAACAGGCTCGCCAAACTTCTGTTGAATAAATTATCAGCACTGCATTTATACAGAGCACACAAAGACTGACAATTTAATGAAAAGAAATATTTTACAGACTTTGGCGGTCTGGACTGCTGATCACATTGAGCATCAGGGCCCCTGCTCAGCACACTGCCAGGGCCCCGCTGCTAGAATAAGGCAGAGAAGAGTCAAGATCGCCAGGCGTCCACGTAACAAGAAATGTCCATGTTCCACCCTACACAACAGGATGACGAAGGCTGACAGCAATGTGGCGATTCTCTGGCTCAGACCCAACCTGAACTAAGTTTAGAAAAACTCAGGTTAAATTATGGTCGGTGTATATTAGCACTAAATATGTTCTGGGATGTAACGTTTTTGAACACCAACAAAGCAGCTCAGACTACATGGTTATTTTCTGCTGTTTAAAATAAACCAACCCCTAACCATGTCTAAAACGTAACCTTCGCTCTGCCTATCTCCTAATGCACGTATACGTCCTAACGGCCTCAACATTTAAGTAATGATGATAACAAATCTACTTGTACACTTGCACAGTGAAAGCATACGTGGCCCCTGCATTTTCAGAGCCACATGCTGCTGAAGAGGGAAGACTGCGGCCGACGGACGCTCTCCAGGGTGGGGCAGTGCGCTCATGGACGGGCGAGGAGAGGAGGCCACTCGAATAGAATGGGCTGCGACATCAGAGTGGAACAGCTATTCAACGCGCATTCACTCACGCAAGACACACAAGAGCTTTCAAAAGCACACAAACACCTGAGAGACAAGAAAAAACAACTTACATAAAAAAAATAGCAGCCACGGCAGACTCAAATTTTTTAGAGATTAGAGTAAAATAGGGGGGGACAAAACATCAAAACAGTGAATGACAAAAGAAGGGTTTAGGAGCACAGGCTACTCACAGGAATTCTTCTCCAGGGGGTCTGGGTGTACTTATCAGCGTATGTGCATTTTTCCTCCTTAGGTTTTTGGTGGCAGTTACACCGAGTTGCCTGAACAAAAACACACATTTTTATACTGGTGTATTTTTCATACGCCTGTACATACACAAAGTAATTAAGGTCTCTCTTAGAGATTGAAAAAAAGGCAGCCCTGGCCAGTATGGCTCAGCAATTAGAGTGTTGGCCTGTGGACCGAAGGATAAAGGGTTCAATTCAGGGTCAAGGGCAGGTGCCTAAGTTGCAGGTTCGATCCCCATCCCTGGTCGGGGTCATGAGGGAGACAACCAATCAATGTGTCTCTCTCACATCGATGTTTCTCCCCCCACCTCCCTTCCACTATATCTAAAAATCAATGGAAAAATATCCTTGGATAAGGATTAACAAAAAAATAAATAAAAAAATAAAAGATCTATTAGGTAGTCAGTCTCCTGTCTTATTCAGAGGTTGGGTTGTAGAGCCAGCCAAAAAGGCTAACATTTTGAATAGTCAAAATTACCTCTGGCAATCTCTTATGATTTTATGCATATAAATGTATACAGTACTAGGTAGATAGAGGTAGAAAATATATAACAATATAAAGCATCTGAAGAACACAACTGCAAGATTTCACATATGTCCCTAAACTATCATGGTACTACAATAACTGCAGCACGATTTCTTAAAGTCATTGTCTACAGGCAGGATGCACCAGTCTGCAGGCAGGATCGTCCCTGCACATGCCCAGAGCTCTCGGCCCCTCCTCTGATGTGCTGACCCTGCGGACGGGAACCTGAAGGACCTGTTCTCTGGACAAGACCCACCCGAGTGTCTCCGTTCACAGAGTCCACAGGATCCGCTCGCACACTCAGTCATGTATGCAGCACAAAGTGACACATCTTATTGTGCAAACTTCAGTCTTTCAAATAAGTATAAAATTAACAAAAAAAGAAAGAAAAGACTGATGAGAATTTCTCCTTAGTGTGAAGTTGAAATATATTCCTATTATCTGTTAAATAACTGCAATAGAGGTAAATATACTTTCTTGTAGAATTTGTTATATAACAAATTCTTGATCAGTGCATCAAGCTAAAATTATAAGTTTCTAATTCTAAAAATGTGCCAATATTTAAAATTAAATACAATCTAATTAAAACCAGAAATATCTGTAGTACTGACGTATTTTCCACTTCTAGTAGCACAGACATAGTTCCCACTGCTATGCAAGGGGACAGTCACTGACACAAAATTCAACACACAGCTTCTGAGCCACGCAAGGTCCAGGTGTGCCAACCCTGTGCTGGGGGAAGTCTGTGTATGTCTGACTCCCCCAAACCTTGACTGACAGCCTACTGTTGACCAGAAGCCTTAATTATAACATAAACAGTCAATTCACACATATTTTATATGTTATATGTATTATATACTGTATTCTTACAATAAAGTAAGCTACAGAAAACAGTATAAAGAAAATCATAAAAAAGAGAAAATACATTTACAATACCGTATGTATTTATAGGGAAAAAAACCTGCATATAAGTGGACCCACACAGTTCAGTCCCGTGTTGCTCAGTTCAAGGTCAACGTGGAGTCTCTCGTGTCACCAGAGCAGACTTGCCCTGCCCACGGGGTGCAGGAGGCACGGCGGAGCCTGCGCCCAGCGCAGCTCGTCACTCGCCCTATCTCAGCGAGTGCACTTCCGGAACTAGGTTCCCGTCTGTGTCATGTGCTATCATACGAAGGGTAAGATTTGGCAAATATTTCAGTTTTTCATAATTTGGAAAATCTAGTTTTTAGTGATATGCTCTGGACTTCCAACGAAGATTTTCCTGACTCGCTGGTGTTTTTTATACCATTATGTCCTTTGTATTATTACACACTAAGTTACATTTAACTTCGTAAGGGACTGCATTTGAAGTGGTAACCACCATACATCTATAAAGAGTCTACTCGACATCACTCATGGAGAAGAAACATTTCTCCGAGCACCTTCTCCTTCCCCGACAGAGCTGCGCACAGACCAATGCGGTGCCCAGTCCCACCGTATCACAGAGAGAAAAATGCCGTTTCCAACTCACCAGTATCCGTTTCTTTAAAAACACATGAAGAAAAGACATTTACCCTTTAACAATAAAATAACTAAACCAGTGAATATCCCAAAACACAGGCCACTGAAATGAATGGACCAAGACCTTCTTTTCACCCTGAATATTTACTGTTCAGACTACAAGTTAGACCACATACTTCTAGAGAGCATAGAACCCACAAGAAATTGAATAGTGCAACTTTGAGAGCCAAAAATAAAGTCAAATTTCAATTCTGGCTCTAGTTTCATATTTCTCAGCTTAAAAGGTCTTCATTTTGTATTACTTACCAGCTGATGTTCTAATAGTTGGATTTTTTCATCTTTTTTCTTTATTTCATCTTGAAGTTGTTTTATTTCATTTAATAAATCTTCATTCTGAAACATTACAAAACATGTAACAAGAAGTATTTAACTGCATTTAAAACACCCTAATGAGAAACATTAAGTCAATGATGAAGACTGAGCAATGAATTGATGATTTGTTCATTCCAGGGAAATATTCTTTTTAAATAAGACAGCTATTAACCTATAAACAAACAAAACGATACCAAAACAACAACACATTTTAGTGCTCGATGAATTCAGTCTAAGGGAGTCTGACACGCAACAAAGAGCAGTAACCGCAGCAACGCTAACCTTCACCGAGTTCTCAGCAGGTGCGGAGAACTAAGTACCTTTAGGTATCGAAGCATTTTATCCTGACTACGACCCTGAGGTGAGTACTATTACCCGATTTTCAGATCAGGAAACTGAGACACAGGCCACACAGCACAACAAGTTACATACAAAGCTGACTCCAGCTAAATCACAGTGGACGTAGAAGAGGCGCCTGGCGTGGAGAATGACACAGCGTAATTAAAGGAAGGTCACTTCACGACTGGTTCGGAAATCAGCGGAGCTCTGGCCAGCGTGGCTCAGGGGGATGGGCGTTGTCCCACACACTGAAAGGGTTGCTGGTTCGATTCCCAGCCATGGCACACGCCCAGTTTGGGGGCTTGATCCCAGATGGGGAGTATGCAGGAGGCAGCCGATGTTTCTCTCTCCCTCTCCCTTCTTCTCTAAAATTCAATTTAAAAATCTTAAATAAAAAAAAAATTATAAAAACAAAAAATAAATCAACAGAAAGATAAAGGTGCCTGAGAGTAACAAGGGTTTCCGAGTGTCAGGCGTCACCCGACAGCTAAGCACAGCTGGGCCATCAGCGCCAGGGACCCAGGACACATGCTGAGAAAGCAGTGCGGCAGGACATGAGAGCAAACGCGGGGACAGTACTGTCGTCTTTCCAGAGAGAAAAGGTGTGAGCATGTAGTCACAGTGTTGTTACTAAGCAAGGCCTGTGTCTCCTTCAGATATGTTGAGAACAAAAAGAGTCGCAGTCTCTTTAACAAGAGATCAGAAATAGGCATTTTACAAAGGCCTTAACATAGCAAATAAACATCACATGGGGAAAAGATTTTTTTAAAATGCTGTTATGTATACTGAAGTTGGAAAACACTTTATTATATACAAAAAAGATTTCTAGTTGAAATTCAAGAGTTTAGGTATCTAAAAATATTCATAAATCAAGATAAAAAAGAGATAGTGCAAATAAATCATTAAGGATATAGTTTTAAGCTATCTGGCAAACAAAGCTGTTTAAAAAAAAGATAAATATACTTAATTACATAAAATTTTAAAGCATCTATACAATTAACCTCAAAGTTAAAAACTAAAGAAAATCGAAGCAAACAAGACAAAGGTTTATATGTCAAGTATACAAAGAGTCTGTTCAAACACGAAAGATCATTTTCTAGCCCCCAAAAGACAAAGAGCCAGATCTCACAAACATGCACATCATGTTCTATCTAACTTGTTGAAGAAATATAAAGTATTAAAGGTATTATTTTATAGGTATTAAATTTGAGAAAGAAATACTCAATGAGATCAACAAGACTTCAGAAAAATACGGCACATCATGACCCACAGCTGACCTTTCTGGACAGACTTCTGGCTACAGAAGAGTCATGAAGACTTGCAGCCTCTGGCTCAGCTATCCCCTCCGAGGCAGCCATGCTAAGCAAACGATCCTCAGTAGGAGAAAACCTACGACAAGCTATTATCTGAAACTTTACAAATGTACACTTGCCCTGTAAGAAACAGGTGAAATACAACCTGCAGCTTGGAGCACTACAGAGCCACCAGCCAGTCACTGCCACCGATGGAGGGACAGACCCGAAAATGAAATCGAAGCACAACGTCAGAAGAACAATAATAAGCAACACACATCCAGCACTCACTTATCGCGGGACAGGCACTGGTCTGAGGACCTTGCACATAAGACAAGCAAAGGGGGTGCACCAGGAAACGGGTAACTCCAGGAGTCTGCAAGGAAGCGCGAAAGGTTCTGAAGACCAAGCGCGGCAGGTTCTGGATGCCAGGGGAAGAGACCGTGAGCGCTGTGACGCAGTGTGGACAGGACGGCGCTTCCAGAGGGCCCCAGCAGCGGTGCCGCTGCCCACGGCTGTGGGTGGGGCCATGTGGTCGACAGCCAGGCCGTGGCCAGATGACAGAGACATGAACATCAAGTGTGACCTCGGCAGGAAGCGACAGACGCATGTGTGTTTGAGAAGTCTTCGACAGCTGTTAGAAAGCCGTGTCTGACAATATCTACAATAGAACTAGGCTAGGGAACCTCCCATCGAGATGCAACACCCCAGGGAAGTAGGAGCCTGACTCACAACAGTGATCTCGGCGAGAAGGGGGGGCAGTCGGGAGACTGGTGGCTCCGGCACAGGAGAGGAGAGCACAGGGGACACTCGAAGGGACCCCACACTTCTAGCGTGGGTGCTACGTGAAGGGTCGTGTCAGCAAAAGAACTGGAGAACAAAGTAAGAGAATTACGTCCAAAAAAGGAATATTTGTGAGTTTTAAATATATTATTAGAGGTAACTATGTGTGAGACACACCGTGGACATGTCCAGTGGGCATCTGAATTACCAAGTATTAAAGAAAGATCTCACACGCCGTCACTGTGTCAGATGTGAAATCGCGGCAGTAAAAGGTCCCAAGGGGGCCGGGCTGAGAAACCTGCATCTCTGGAGCAGAAGGACCCGCAGAGGAGATGGGAGGGAGGAGGTGCAAGGAGTCTCAGAGAGAAGAGACTCAAAGCCAAGGAGCAGCCGCTTCTCAGACAAAGGCCACACAGAAGGTCTCCAGCATTAAACTCAGTAGTTATTTTCATTTTTCCAAGTTTCTACGTTTACTGGAAGGGGTCTTAAGGAGAGTCAAGGAAAAGTTTATCTGATTCACTGAATTTAAGACAGAAAAGACAGCGATGTATAAACTGAAGACGAAGAGGAAGCAGACAAAGCACACAGAAGACAGAAACAGAGGCGGCTGCTGCCAGGCCCTCAACAGCAGCAGGAGAGTGGGGAACACAAGAGCGGGGACCCTCCACCGCACCTGGCACCTCCCCTGCAGCTGCGCAGAGCAGTGAGGACAGACACACGCAGGCATCAGAAGGCAGGAAGGCAGGGCGCAGGTCGTGCTGGTGAACACAAGGCTGCTGCCCGAGTGTGCTGAGGAGGGGCCGAGAGTGGGCTTGAGGGGTTCGCTGGGGGGTGGAACAGGGAGCTGTCCTGAGAAAGAGGAGAGCGACACGGCAGGCCTAGATTTCCGGCCTTGCATCCGTAATGACACAAGTCACTGTCGGCACCATCTGAAACCACGAATCCGATCGGGATGAGATGGAAGCACAGCTGGGATCGGCTGGTGCAGGCCTGAGAGTCTGGGGACAGCAGGGTGTCGGCTGCTGACCCTGCACTGAACACGAAGGAAACTAGGAACGGTCTGCCCGGAAGAAATGGAGCAGGGGTCAGAAATAAGTACTGTGTAACAATGTGTCTATCGTGTGATACTGAATATATAGACAAACAAGAAAGGAACAGTAGAAAAAATGAAGATACTCGTGTAAAAAAGTTGAAATTAAAAATTTTTTCTTTAAGATGAGGATTTTACATGTAAAAAACTTTACCAAAAAAATGCAGAAAAAAACTCAACTTTTTTGCATGATAACCAGAAATCCTGTAAGTAAATGGTTCTCAACGGTGTGCATATAAAATTAATTTATTATTATTTTTTTAAACGTTTTTATTGATTTTTTTAGAGAGACAGAAACATCCACGTATATCAATTGGCTGCCCCTGCATGCCCCCCGCCCCGGGATGGAGCCCACAACCCAGGCATGTGCCCTGACTGGGAATCGACCTGGGCCCTCTCCATCCATGGGACGGCACCCAACCCACTGAACCACACCAGCCGGGCAAAAAATTTTTTTAAAAAACACATCCTGATTTTATTTTATTTTTTATTCTCACCAGAGGATATTTTTTCTATTTATCATCAGATAGAGGAGAGGGAGGGAGAGACAGGGAGAGAAACATTGATCAGACAGACACATAGACTGGCTGACCCTTCAGCCTGGACCCCAGAATGAAGAAGACATATGAAGCAGAGTCCCAAAGATCCACAGGCAACATGTAACAAACATATTGAGAACAATGAGTGATGCCCAGCCGCTGTGGCTCAGTGGCTGGGTGTTGTCACCTAGACCAAGAGGTCACCAGTTCAATTCCCCCTCAGGGCACATGCCCAGGCTGCAGGCTCCATCCCCAGTAGGGGGTGTGCGGGAGGCAGCCAATCGATAGTTCTCTCTCACACAGATGTTTCTAACTCTCTCTCCCTCTCCCGTTCGTTCTCTCTCCCTAAAAATCAATAAAAACACATTAAAAAAAGAAAGAAGTGAAAAATTAAACTTTTCTTATTGTAAGGCACCAATATTTCAAGGCTGTTTGTTACTGCAAATACTAGCACATCCTGAAAGTAGAATGTGAAAGCAAAAAATCTTATAAATCAAGAATTAATCAAGACGACTTGTATGTTCTTAAGAAGTAAATAGACGTTCCAAAAATAGCTGCAAAAGACAAAGCTTTTGTCAAATAAAAATAGACCTAAAGATGAGGATTATTAAAAAATGTACTTTCACTCACTAAAATGTACCTGCATTCTATAATTATATTTTTAAACATGAAAAATGATAAATAAGTCTCTTTGTCAGATTATTTCTTCAATGTTGTGATACGTGATATGGTATATGAGAAGTACGTATTAACCATTTAAATTTTTATTGGTAGTCATATTTTTAAAACTGTTATTCATAATTATAAAGAATTGGAAAAATCTAATAATTAGACACAATGTTGTGCCAGTGGTAACGCAGGGAAAAGGGCCCTCAGCTGACGACACTGAAACGGAAGCCCAGCTGATGGGGGCCCCAGGGATGGCATTTCAACCAACAGGGAGCGAGAGTTAAAAGCAAACCTGTTAAAACTCCAGACAGCAAAGCGAAAGGTTTTAAAACATTCATTAGTAAATGTTTTAATTCTTGTTGCTTTATAATTTTGGTAACAAGGAATTTGGAGAGCGCAGCCGCCTCCCCAGTCCTACCCTGGGCATCTGGTCGCCGTCTCCGGGCTCCGGGCTGGGCGGCAGGGACAGCGGCACGTCCTGCGATGACCCACTGCCATCGTGCTGCGGGGGCAAAGGGAGAGGACAGGTTAGACCGTGGCTGCGAGCCGTCAGGGAACCCGAATTCAGCCAAACCAAATACTAGCGTGGCGAAGAACAAACAGAAAATAAGATTTTAGCCCAGCGGTGTAGCTCAGTGGCTGAGCATCACCCCACGGACTGAGAGGTCCCGGGTTGACTCCCGGTCAGGGCACGTCGGGGTTGTGGGCTGCATCCCCAGGGGGGGCGTGCAGGAGGCGGCCAATACATGTTTCTCACTCACATGCATGTTTCTCTCTCTCTGTCCCTTCTCTCTCTAAAAAAATCAATAAAAACATATAAAAAAGAAAAGGATTTAGAAGGCCCCTTTCGTCTCTGTGCACTTGCAGAGGGAATGTGGAGGAGGGTGTCCTGCAGGGCTCAGCGGGGGGAGCGTCGTCCCACATCACAAGGCTGCGGGTCCGGCCTCTGCCGGGCACCTACCTCGGCTGCAGGTTAGATCTACAGTCGGGGAACGCAGGGAAGGCAACAGACACGCTTCTCTCTCTCTCTCTCTCAAACCAATAAAAACATATCTTCAAGTGAGGATGAAAAGAAAAACAAAAAGAAATGTGGAAGAGGAAAAAAGAGAGCTAGGGCAAAAAAACTTTGTGGAAATAAGTACCACCCATATGAGGGGTGAAGCAGAAAGCCCCTGAAACGTCCAGAGCGGGAAAAGAAATGAGACATTTTCTAAAGAATTTTAAGATTCTCTCACCTATGAAAAATGTAACAAACACAGAAGTCAAATTAAATCTGCTTTGGTTTAGCTGTGGTGTTTAAGGTATAAACTTGACAGAAACAGTAGTCTTCAGTATACTGCTCAGCAAGGCGTGGCCACAAAAAACATTTGATTAAAAATACCAGACACATAAGTATATGTTCTGCATCTCCCACCAAGTCTCAGGACAGGCGAAGCTGATTCGTGGTGCTGGAGGTCAGAGAGTGGCTCGGGGGAGGCGGTTGCTGACACGGAAGGAGGAGCTTGAGGAAACCCGCCGGGATAACGGAAATGCTCTGTCTTGACTGTATGGTGGTTACAGGGATGCACACATATGCAAATGTCAAGCTGGACACTTAGGATTGGTACACATTAAGTAGTTTACTGGATATATGCCATACCTCAATAAAAATGAAGTTGAAAAATTTAAACTTTTTGTCCTTAAACAATAGAGACAATAGGACAATATTAAGTCCTACCCCTTGCCTAGCTGGTGTGCAAGCAACTAGCACAGACAACCTCGCGAATGACGAACCAGAGAAGAATGTACCTGGGATGATGGTGAGAGACTGAGCCCCGGACCATGAAGTACACTGGTCGGCACCTTCTCTGTCCAGATGGTGCCTACCTGCTCGGGAAACGCTCAGGGAACAGCGGGGGGTGATGGAGCACCAGGGGCTCAGGAGAGGGACTCAGGGAACAGCGGGGGGTGATGGAGCACCAGGGGCTCAGGAGAGGGACTCAGGGAACAGCGGGGGGTGATGGAGCACCAGGGGCTCAGGAGAGGGACTCAGGGAACAGCGGGGGGTGATGGAGCACCAGGGGCTCAGGAGAGGGACTCAGGGAACAGCGGGGGGTGATGGGGCACCAGGGGCTCAGGAAAAGGGCTCCAGAAGTTTCCGTAGATTTCTCGGTTCACCTCTGAGCAGCGCTTGTTTAGATATGATTCTATCCAAGACTCAGAGAAATTAACTAAGATCACTGCCCGAGACCCAAGCTGGCCTCTGGAAGGTGCACACTCAGACCACAGAGCAAAGGCTGAAAACAGAACCGATGTTCAAACCACAATTCCAAAGTGTCAAGTTGGCACTTACAGCCTCAACCCAAAGGACTATTTGCCTGCTTTAAAAAATAAAAATCAATATTCTCCATAACATTTAAGCAAGAAGACGACACCAAATTACTCAACATACAAACAGGGAACATCTCAACTCACACAGGAAGAGACAACCGACAGTCATCAATGTCAAAGTAACAGAAGTTGGAATTAATTGGAAGAGATTTTAATAAAGCTATTATAAAAATTCCCCAAAAGGGCAAACTCTTTAAGGAAATGGAAAGAGACAGTCTCAACAAAGAAACTACACATTAAGTGAAAACAAATGAAATTTTAGAACAGGAAAGATTTGATAACCAAAATTAAAAATGCACAAGACGGACTAAGGACAGCATTTACGATGGCAATGAACTTGACGGCAAATCAACAGAAATCATCCAGTTTGAACAATGAAGAGATAAAAATTTGGAAAAACAAACAAACCCACAAACAATCCCCCTAAAAACAGAGCCTAAGAAAACATCTGAAGAAACGTGGTGAAGAGACCTCAGATCTGGTGACAGACACGACCCTTCAGCTCGAGAAGCCGAATGTAAAGAAGCAGAACAGACCAAGTGTGTTCCCTGGACACAGGGAATTAGCTAGAAATCAGTAACAGAAAGACAGTATTCAAACACTTGCAGAGTCAACAAGAAACTTCTAAAGCATCCCTGGGTCTAAAGAAGTCTCAGGGTAAACACGTAAGTATGTACATTGAATTAAGGGAAAATGAAGACACCAAATATCAAAATTTGTAAAATGCAACTAGTAACACACTGGGAAGAGAAAAAATATCGTATAAGATGCTTATATTAAAACAAAGGTGTCACATCATAACTGGAGCAAAATAAACCCAGAACAAGTAGAAAGAAGGAAATAACAAGGAGCAAAAAATTTATGAAATTGAAACTCAAGAATAGAGAGATACCAGTAAAACTAAAAACAGGTTCTTTGACAACTGCAAAGCCTCTAGCAAAACCGCCAAAGAATAAAACGGGGAAAGCACAGGTCAGACACTTACGGGGACGAAGAAGAAGTCAGGACGTGGGCAGAAATGCCATCACCGGGTCTCTGGCACCAGGAGCAGCGAGGTGATGGTACTGAGTGGCTCTAGGCACACGCATCTGACGGCTCACGTGAATGAAGAAATTACTAAGAAACCACAAGCTATCTGAACTCACCCAGAATGAAGCAGTTTGAGTACATCTATGATGTACCATATTATGTGGTATCTATATTTGTAAAATGAATTTATAGTTTAAACCTTCCATAAAAGAAATACTGAGGCCGAATCTTTTCCTGGCAAATTCTCCCCAAATTAAAGGAATAATATCAATTCTACACAATCTTAGAGAAAACAAATCAAATTAATTAAATTATAAAATTACTCAAATCAATGAATGAGGCCAGCATTTCTCTGATACCAAACAAAGACTGTATAACAAGACTATACATCAACAGCCCTCATGAACAGACACACAAAAGTCCTTAACAAAATTCAACAATACGCCCTGGCCGGTTTGGCTTAGTGATAGAGCATCGGCCCTCGGACCAGAGAGTTTCAGGTTCAATTCCGGTCAAGGGCACGTACCTCAGTTGTGGTTTGGTCCCCAGCCCTGGTCGGGGTTGTGCAGGAGGTAATGTGTGTCTCTCCCTCCCACTCTGTCCAAAAATAGATGGAAAAATATCCTCAAGTGAGGTTTAAAATGAAATCTAATATACACTCACACACACGCACACGCACACACACACACACACGTATGTAAAAGCATGAACAAGCAGGGTTGATGCTGGGAATGGAAAGCTGGGTCAATAGTCGAAAACTAATGTAATTCACTAAATCAAGAGATAAAAGATCAATATGATTATCCCAACAGATACACATAAAGTTTCTGACAAAATTCAACATAAATTTATGATAAAAACTCAGCAGCAAAGTAGGAAGGGAAGGAAACTTGTTCAACCTGAAGTCCTTCTGAAAGGGCCTGCAGTCAGCACCACCCCCAGCAGCAGGCACTGAGGCCGCGGAGCTGCCCACTCCCCGCCCTGGGGAGTACAGAAGGCTACGCAGGGAGGGAAGAAATACGACCGAAATACGACCGTCCCCACTCAGACAGTCTAATTTCTGTGTAAAAAATCCCAAAGTATCTACAATAATGCTCCTAGAATTAATACAGGATTTAGAAAAGCCACAAGATACAAGTCCAATATGCAAAAATCTATTAATATGACAAAGTACAACTAAAAATTACAACAACAAAAAGACTGCAATAAACCCAAATCCACAACACAAAAAATAAACCAAACCAAGAAAAATTTAAAAAATACATATTTAGGTACAAATCTAACAAAATATAGATAACTCTTATATTAAAAACAAAAAAATGTCTAAGATCAGAGATGACCTAAGTAAATGGAGAGATATACCTTTAATGGAGTAAAAGACAACATTGTTAAGATGTCAACTCTCTACCAAATTCACTACAGATCAGTGCCCTCTCACCCAAAATCCAGAATAATTGTTTGAAGAAATAAAAAAGCTGCTTCTTTAACAATCTAGTAAGGCACAAATACTAAAACAGCCAAGTAATTTTGAAAAGAAAACAAAGCTGGAGGAGTCACACTACTTCATTTCAAGACCTTCTATAAAATCATAATACTCAAGAGTGTGACACTGGCAAAAGGACACACACTGGCCTCAGGTCAGAACAGAGCCAGGAACAGCCCACATACACGCCCGAAGGCATCTGCGACAAAACTGCGAAGCCAATTCAACAGGTGGTGCTAGGAATCCACATGCAATGTAATTAACTGTATTCACACCTCACATCATATACGAAAATTCTCAAATCAGACTGTAGACCTAAATGTCAAACTTAAAACTATAAAACATCTCCAAATAAACAGAAAATCTCTGTGAGCCTGGATTGGGCAAAGATCTCTTAGATATAATACCAAAACCATTATCATACAAATTTGATAAACTTGACTTCAAGAGAACTTCGGCTTTTTAGACAATTATTAACAGAATGAAAAAAGAGCCCATGAAATAGGAGGAAATACTTGCAATAATTCAGGTAAAATACTTAGCATAGTGCCTAACTCATAGAGAATATTATAAACTGCTAGCTATTTTTAAATAATAGTAACAGGAATAATGAAAATGTG